ACATTTAGATGCTTGAGATAACTCCCTTGGAGTGGAAGACAAGGATGCCTCATCACTGGTTTTTTTGAGTGTGCTTTGGGAGAGGAGTGAGACACCAGGAATTCAGGTGGGGGCGACCATGGTGGAGATAATGGATTCCACTCTTCTTTAGTTCTCCAGATGTAGCCTGATCTGGAAAAAAGAATAAAAAATGAATAAGAAATTATCTCCTTCCAAAAGTTGAGCTGGGAGGGTTATAAAATCCATTATTAGAAGGAGCAGAATGAGGTGGAGGCAAGTGTGATTTCTTAATTTAACGTATAGATTTATCATCAACAGAGCAGAGCAAAATAATGGGCTAAAAAGCAGAATCTAATGGACATTTTTAAATGTCTCCATTATTCACCACCCTTAAGTGAGCGTTTGAACGGTTTGGCTATTTTATGAAAAAATGTCAATGGAAAATTAATTTCCGAGTCATGCGCATGAATATTGATGTAAAACATAATTTCAATACAGAGGATTATTACTGTTGTAATTGGGGCCATTAGGAGCTGAAACTCTGTCACTTTAGGTAGCTGGTAATAAGTAAACAACTGACTGTGAAGTGTGAATGTGTGAGTAATGCCTGAGATCCACTTTGGTGATGGCCAAGCAGTGCTCTGCTCCAGCACCCACCCAAAATCCCCCAGGACTGGCGTGCAGGTGAGAAGTGGCCACTGGTTTGTTGCCATCACTGCTGGTTTGGGATTTCCCAGATGGAAGAGGCACGTTCCTTGAGCTTTGGGATACCCTTAGTGGGTGACTCTGCAGTTGAGCACTCTGTGGGGTTTGTGTCAGAGTGTGGAAAGAGCAGGAACGGCTGAGCACGTTCCGGGGCAGAGATGGGTTTGGGGGCTTGGTGGTGTGTCAGGAAATCAGGGCAGACTTGGGCAAAATCTGGGGGAAGTCTGATTTTCCTGAGTGTGCACTGGGAGAGCACTGGAGGGTTTCCCTCATGGAGATGCCCCTGTAAAGCCTCCCCCAAGCAAGGCAGAGTACGTGACCAGAGATGCTCAATAACGAGGGCAGCTTCACACTGGAAGCACACCTAAAGCTGCTCTCTTTGCCCTGTGTTAGAGACAGGGGATGAGTGTTTTTTATTAACCAGCAGAGGTTCTGCTGCAGGAACAGTTAAAGCACACAATCCTGAATTTTTTTTTTTTTGTTTTTTTCTGTTTATCCATTTGTGGGGCTCTGTAAGACTACACATCTAACAATACACAGCAAAGTGCTTCAAAGAGGGTTCATGAAATACAGATTAAGGTGGTTTTGCATGGCGTGACAAGGACATACATTTTGTTGTGCTTGTGTTTATGCCTGTGTACAGCTGGAACATCCCTGCAAATACTTATTATTTTAGCACTTAATTTTAAGAGGTGCTACAACACACAGATGCCTGTTGCTGTTCCAGGAGCGGAGCAGGAGGTGAGTGGGATGTGTTCCTGCTCTGTGTTGAGTTCAGGGACAGAGGGACTGGGAATCTTGCGTGACTCCTGCTCAGCTCCCACTTCACACAGAGTTACTTCAGTGCTTTTTGACTACCAAATCAGACCCAGAACAATTATTTCTGCCCTGGAGCAGCTGGGAATTGCCTCATATGACTCAAAATGGGGCATGAAACTTTGTAAGTAGGAGTTCACAGCCTGCTTTCTGGCCTGTGTCCCTCCCAGGTTTGGCTCCTTGGCATCAGTGGGCCAACAGGAGCACCTTTGTGATTGTCCCTGACAGCAGCAGCATTTCTCTCTCATGGCAGCAATGCCTTTTTACCCCTTTGGTTGTTATTTGCCTTGAAAAACCTGCTGAGAGCATCTCTTATCTCTCTGTTTTAAAGGACTCTGCAGAGGATGGGAGGTACTGTCCCAGCCCTTCCTCCTGCAAGTGAAGGACCTAACCTGCTTTTCTTAAATACTGGTGTGGTTTCCTCTTTTGTATTTTGAATCTGACATCATTATTAGGTGCATCAAAAGCATACATTGCAAAGCTGAGACAGAGAGATTAATGACTTATTGTAACAATGGATTATTAATGATCCATGATTATACCCACATTTGCTTTGTGACTTCAGCTTGTTGTGCAGGTCAGAGCTCTCTCCTGCTCTGAGTTCTGTTTCTGCATTAGCTTGCACTGCTGGTTGGGTGCCAATGAAAAAAACAAAGTGCACTCTGTGCCCCTCAGTTGATGTAGGATAATCACTTCTGGTGTGTGACTTGATTTGAAGCAATCTGTGACCAATTTTTTGTGGAAGAAAACTTTAAGATGGACATTAAGTGCTTGGAATTGCTATGAGATAAATCATGCAGATCCTTTAAATGTATTCTAAATTAGCTTTAAAGGTTTTTTTTTTTTTTTTTTTAATCCAAAAGAATTGATTACTAGCCATATCAAAAACTGGGAGAAGTTGCTGCAGTGGTTTGGCTGTACAAAATTAATCTCAGTCAGATAAAACTCATAGCCCTGGTTCACATCTGGGCTGGCTTCACCCCTGCAGAATCCTCTTGCAGGAGCAGGCTCTCCAGGTGTTTCTGCCTCCTCACAGCAAACAAATGGCTGCATTAGCTTGCAGGAAACGTTTAATGGGTGTGCAACATGGAATATCAGTGTTGCAGTGTATAGCTTTATTAGCTGAGCTGCAGGAATTGTTTTCTGAGCTGTGTTGGTCCTTAGCACAGATTGCAGAATGGAAGGGAAGGTATTTATTAGTCCTTGGGAGCCTTAAGACAGAATAATACTTACCTGGCTGGAAATATGATCAGTCCCATAATGGATACTGCTGGATTTAAGGAAGGAACACACAAACCCATTTTGTAACTGCTAAGCAAGAATTTTTAGGTGCCCTGGCAGGCACAGAGATGTGTCTCCCTGAAGAGTTAGCAGTCGAGGGCAGGTCTTGAGGCTTTTCTGAATAAAACTCTATACATGAGCTAGGACAGGGCTTTGTGTTTCAAAAAGAAAGATGTGCCATCTCCAGTTGCAGTGCCTAATCCTTCCAGTGTTCCCAGTCCACCAGAGCTAGGTGAGGTCCCAGTATGACCATGTCTTTCCTTCTCCCCAAAAAGCTGTTAAAAATATAATGAATGAAATGGTGTTGAGGTGTGATTTACTCTAAGTGGTAAGGTTTTACAGAAAATCTAAAAATTGGAATGTTCATGCTTTTAAGTTAAGCCTCAAAATGAGGTGGTAACTTTTATTTTAAAACCTGAGCAAACCAAGCACTTCTGTTTTTCTTCAACACAGTGTAATGAACACAGGTCAAATATTTCAAATTTTTAACTGTAGTGAGAACTTTGAAATTTTACTTTTGCCAGGTCATAGAAAGAAATAACATTCCAGCATTTCCTCTGGTGGGTAGACCCAGTGCCTATTTAGAGAAGCAGCCCTTGCAGTGCCTGTTCAGCTTTGGTCTGTGCTCTCTGGCCCCTGGAAACACAACCCAAAAACGATTTGATCAACCCTTCACCCTGAATGGTTTGTAACGAAACCAGCCCGTGGGAGTCGTGGTTCAGCAGGAGCAGACTTCTCCTGCCTTTTTTGGGGCAGAGGGAGTTTCCTTGGGAGAAAACTTTGAGCAGGTCATGGGCTTCTGGCTGCCCCTGAAGCCCTTTGCCAAGAGGCTGCTGGAAGCTCAAATTGCCCTGGCACAACAGCAAATAATTCTGCAGCACAGAGAACACAGAGGGAGCAGAAATTAGAATTGTTCCCATTTCTAGTGAGAGGAAAAAAAAAAGGGTGGGGGGAGGGGGTATAGTAAATAAACAGTCAATAATTGTACCACTCTGAAACCTAATTACTTTTGGTATTTATAAAAAGGACCTGCATCATTCAAAAGAGTATGTTTCAGCCAATTTTACTGATTATGCCTCCAGTCATGAAGAGTTTTGTTTGTATTGATCTGATCCAGAAGTGGGATTGGCCCCAGAAATGCCATTCTTGTCAGGCTCCTGTTTTGCATAATATAATGCCAATTTCAAAAGTTTAGATATAGCCAGATTAATTTGCTCACAGGTAAGAACAACCCACAAGCTGTTGATTAAGAGGGAAAAAAAGTGCATTGAAACAGCCAAACCAGAACCAGCCCAGCCCTACACTTGACCATTTAAGCAGCATCCCTGTCTGAGCAGGCTGAGCAATGTGTGAAAAGGTGATCATGTAAAATGCTGCTTCTGTATTTATTTCTCTCTCTTTTTTTTGTCATTGCATGATGACAGCAGGCTAATACCCTAAGCTGAGCTGGGATTCTGTGGTGGCTTTTAACTGGGCTTCAAAATGTAGAACAGAGCGGTGTAATATTAAAGGGTGTCCTTTGAAAACTGTACTAAGATGGTGCTTCCTGACATTTCTTTGCTGTGCATTCAGCCTGGGGACTTGTGGGAAGACAATGTTTTTTTTCTTTTTCTGTTGTTTTTCTCTTATTTAATCGTTTAAAGCTGGGAAGAGCTGGGGTCTTAAGGAAAGTGATAGGGAAAACCGTGTTGGGTGTGAGTCTTCTGCTTGGGTTGCTCTTGGCTTGTCCAAAATGCTATTCAGAATAGGGAAAATGTTGAATTATCCAGCTTGGATGCACAGGTCTCTCCAGCGGTGTGTCCTTCAGGCCATGGTGGGACTGGCTCTGCCCAAGTGTCTGATTCTGTCACTGGTGGAACTGGTGGGGCTTTGCTGAGGCCTGGGTTTGACCCTTTGGCTGCTGGGGTCAACATGCTTGGCCTTTTTCCTGCATTTCTGCCTTTTCAGCCTTTCTGCATTTGGTGGTAAATACCAGCACTTCAGCCCATTTGGTGAGAAGTGTTTAAATTGCTGAGATGATCACAGGCTGCATTTCTATGTTCTTATCTCCAGTGCTGGTGTTCAAGTGTGACGTGTGTGACCCAGCCCTGTGAATCATTACAAATTTTTTGTTGCAACTCCCTGTATCACTGTGTACAGACTTTATTGTGCCCCCCTTTCCACAGTGGCCTGATGGATTGTGCTGTGTTTTTTTGCAGTGTGTGCTGGCACTGAGAACAAGCTGAGCTCCCTGTCTGACCTGGAGCAGCAGTACCGCGCCCTGCGCAAGTACTATGAGAACTGTGAGGTGGTGATGGGCAACCTGGAGATCACCAGCATCGAGCACAACAGAGACCTCTCCTTCCTGAGGGTAAGCAGGCTGCTGCTCTCCTTCCCTCCTCCTTCCTCCCTCCTTCCCTCTGCTTCTTTTTTGGGGGAGCAGCGATAGGTGTTGGGCTGGAAAAGACCAGGCTTCTCTGGCACCAGCTCTGCTGTGATGGGAGAGGATGATGAAATGCCAGGGATGTGCAGAGAACAAGAGCAATGTCATTGCTGTGAGAGGTGCTCTGAGTGTGAGTCATTCAGATTTATCCGGGACCTGGGGGAGAAAGCTGTGCCACTGGAAGGTGACACCTCGCAGGTCTCTCACTTTGTGTCGCCTCAGGGCAGGTTAGGCGGGGTTTAGGAAGGTCAGAGAATCATGCAGATTAGCACTGGAGCACTGGGGAAGCTAATCCTAATAAAATGCTAGATATGGACTGATTTTTAGACTAAGAAAGGGAAGAGCTCTGGGAAATGTTTGTGGAGCATTTAGGAGAAAGAAGAAAAGTGATTGCTGAATCAACATGAAACCTCCTTTGGGTATGAGACTGGAGCTAAGAGCCGAACAATCTCCAGCATGCAGGGGAAGTCTGTGATAGATGAAGGCTGTACTGCTTTTGGGGAACCTTGGTTGTGCATTCCCTCAGTCCTCTTTGCATCAAATTTTAGATTTGTGAAGGAACTCTCCAGTGTGGTTTGCAGATACCCTGTTGCCATGCTGGCAACCACAAGAGAGAAAGGTGAACATCAAGTTCAAAGAACTTAACACCATCATTATCTGGCATTTTACATTCTCTGTGTTTAAAGAAATATCCCACTAAAGGAGTGATCCAGGTGGGCGTCTGAGGATGCTGCAGGTGATGTGGCTGTAATATGGAAGGTAGGTCTGAGGGCCAGGGTAGAAAAAGCAGCCTGTGCTTGCAGTCTGTGCTGTGATGGTACCCTCCGTGACACAGATAAGGGCTTGCACTGCTCATACTGCTCTCCTGTACCTCTTAAAAATGCTGCTGTCACGTTGCAGGATGCGAGTCTGTGTGTCAGTGGCACGTTCACGTGGCAGGAGTGGTGGAGTTTAAATCTGGCAGCAGGAAGAGGCGGTGGGAGGCAGCCCCAGCTGGTTGGGTTACACTCACTCATTCCCTGTGCTGGGTCTTGGGTGAGCTGAGTGCTCAATTCCAGTCTGTAAAACTGTGAACTTTCCACCACAGTTTCTAGCAAAGGCTAAGCCAAGCAGCGTGTTTAGCTCTGCTTCACATTGAATTTGTTGGGGTTTTCACAGCCTTGCCACTCCATCCATTGGTGTGTATTTACTCAACGTGTACACCAGGCTGCTGAAAGATCTGGGAGCAAAACTCAGCTAGCAGACAGGTCTGGAGTAAAGCTTGGGGTGCTAATTGCACTCAGACTAACAGATTGCCTGTTAATTTGAGTGACAAATGCCTCGGAAGTGAGTGCTATCCCTACATTTCACAGTTGTGACAGGTGGGGAAAGCACATATTGCTCTGAAATAGATACAGCCTTGGTGCAGCTGGACCAGCGTTGGACAGGTGGCAGATCCTCCTCCTGTGAGGGCAGGATCCCTGCTCTGACTGGGGCATCTCTGCAGTGAAACCCCCTGGTTGGAATTCATGGCAGGCAGTCCTTCCGCTTCGGCTTTCCTTCCTCCTTCCTCCTGCTGGGAGGTGGGGAAAGCAAATTACGTGGAAATGAGGAATTAGTGTTCCTTGCAGAGAACTTCCATAAAAAGCATGAAATACTGGTGGAAAGAAGGCAGTCAAATCATCAAACGAGATCAAGAAGGAAAAGGTCCTGTTCAGTAAATGAAGGTGGTTTGGTCACCTGTGCTTTTTGGCGACAGCTTCTACTGCTTTTTTATTAGTTTTATTACTTCTCTTACCTGCATCTGCTCCCTCACAGATGTCTCAGCAAAAAAGCAGAACTTGAAACAAAACTCAGCAAAGTGGAAGGCCTAGTTAGTATGATAAATTGTAGTCATTAAAGCAGAAAACCAAACAGAAGAGAACATGTTCTCAGCGAGGCAAATAAATAAATAAATGTTGGCACATTTACGCCGATAATTCGACATTCATTAGTCAGGCAGTATTACTCCTTTTATCATATTAAAAATGGTTTTAATGGCCAAATGAAGGTGGCAGATGGGACATAACTAAGAGAAAGGCTGTTTGTCTCTCTCACACTTAAATACGGTGAACTCTCCGTGCAACATCACGCTCCTTCAGCCTGCTCCAGTGTTTAGTCTCTTGCAGTAATTGCCCTCTTCCTCCACCACAGACACTCCAGGTAGATGCTGCTGCAGCCCTGGGTTATCTGTGTCCCCAGCTGATAACAGCCATGGCTCTGTGTGCCCACCTGTCCTCTCCACAGTGCTCAGCTTAGCTGGGCAGCTCCTTGCTCCAGGACAGAGGGAAGACCTGGCAAGCTGTAGGCATGCTGAGTCTTTCCATCATGCAGTAATAAACAAATAGCATAAATGAATTGAAGTGAAAAAAACCCATAATTTTATTTACCCAGCAGAGGAACATTAAAAGATCAGCATCCCATCTCTCATATTTATTTAGACATTTATTCCCTAAGTAGATTTGGTTTATGTCTATGACTTAGCTCTCTGGATATCTGCTGATGAAGACTAAAAGGGGCTGTCAGTCACCTGAATGAAGTGCTCAGCCACTTCAGCTTCCAGACCTGTGGGTCATGAGGAGCTGGATTTCTGTAAGAAGGGATTGCATGTGCCAGTTCTTCCTTTTCCTGCTGTTCTTACATGTGAGCAGAGCAGGAGGACATATCATCTGTGTTACTTTAATATATTTTATTTTGGTTCCTGCTTGTGTCACAGTCTGGGTATTGCTTTCCTGTGAGCAACTGCAATATGAAATTGTGTTCTGCATGTGCTGCCTCCAGCTCTGCCAGCTCTGCTCCTGATGCTTGGTGCTGCCCTGTGCTGTGGCCACAATGGAGTTGTGGCACAGGAAAGGAGAGCTCAGTAGCAGGAAAAATTCTGTCTCAGCCTGGGTGCTGGGTAAGGACAGATATTTCTGACATCTGTCTGACAGCTGACTTGCTTTGTCCTTCTTCTGAGGCTCAACCTCCCACAGAAAATGTACAAGGCGTGATTCAGTTTTTGCAGTCCCACCTCCCTGTGGCAGGCTCTCCACTGGAACTGGTGCTGCCAGGAGCGTGATTGAATTGAGCAGGACAAATAACAGGTTGGGAAGCAGTCCCTCAGAGCTGCCTTGTCCCTGCCTGTCAGCAGTGACAGTGGGAAGGGTCAGGCTCCATCTCCCACTGCTTCCCAAGCCACCAGCATGCTTCACCTAATTGCACAGCCAGGCTCTTGCACTGGGATTTGCTCCATGAAACCAGATAAGCTGCTGGAGCTGCTGCGTGTCTTGAGTCTCATCCAGGAGAGAGCTGAGATTTACTTCCCTGCTTTGGACTTCAGGAAAAAAAGCCTTGAGAAAAGCTCAGGTTGTTCACTGGTTCATGTTGCAAACAACTGTTTGAAGAACAGAAGGGGGAACCTATTTTAGTTTTGCTTGGCAGAGCTGGCAGTTCCTATTGTGGGCTGTACTTATTTCTTAATAACATCTCCATATTCAATTTTCAAAATAAAATGCACAATTAGTGTATCACATACCAGTCTTCTGCAAGTTAAACACATTTGGTAAATGAGAGTTATCTTTGACTAATCCCCTGGCTTTTAGCAATTCACAGTCAGTAAATTGTCTTCTGGTGCCCAGATTTTATTTAACCAATTCAAATTATTTATTTTTAAAGACATGATCAGAGTTCTGTGCAGTTCCCTGCCACAACTCTCCCAAGTGATTATGAAACTCATTTTTAACCACAATCAACAGTCTTCAAAAATTATCTGCCACTGCTTTATGGGTTCTTTTTTCATTCACCTCAGCAGTGCTTGTGTAGCACCTCCAGCCACACTTGCAGGGCAGCTGTCTGGGTGGATGTTTCACGGTGAATATTGCATTTATTGCAGAGATGTAGGGCCCCATCTCCCCTCTGTCAGCACTCATGGCCCTGTGCTTGGTGAGAGCCCCTGCCAGCCCCACCTTAGCCTGTTCCTTTATTTAGGCTCTGTGGCAGGTGGGATCTGGCCATTTTGGACTTTATGTGCTTTGCTATTGGTTGTGTTTAGTGTTTGGAGGAAGTTTTGGTGGAACAGACCCCTCTGCAGGGCGAGGGGAGCCAGGGAAAGAGTTGTGTTGCCAATACTGCCTGGCCCCATGGCATTGGGAGCTGCTGCTTGTTAAAAAAAACAGAACTGGGGGAGGCTTAAACCCTTTTTGGTCTTTTACAGCAAAACAGGGCTAAGCAGACCCATTTGCAAGCTCTGGTGGCAGAGCTGAGAGGAGATGTTGGCACAGAGAGAATCAGCACCAGAACAGGCGTGTGGGGAAGGGCGTGCAGGGATGGAGGGCACTGCTTGGCAGAGCAGTGTGAGGCTGTGGGGGGCTCCTGGAGGCCTGGCAGCACAGCCCTGCATCCCTTCTGCAGCAAAATGCTATCTGACTGCCCAGCTGACAGGCTCCAGTAATGCCCTGCTCAACAGAAGGGGCTGTGGAGTTGTGTGCCTGTCAGGAGGTCCCAGAAAGGCTGTGGGGTAGCTGTGGGGTCTCTGTGGAGGGGGATTCTCCCAAAAGTGCCAGGAAAGCATTGCAGTGTGGCCCTAGCCCAGAATGGGCATTTCCAGGAGGGGTTTGCTGCAGCATTTGTCATGCAGTGAGTTGCATCTCTTGCCAGTGTGTGTGTTTTGTCCTTGGCTGGCAAGAGGCAAAGTGGCCTCCAGGTAATCACAGACATGGAAATCGAGCACATCCTTTTCTGTGCTCCTGACTGCCCTGCCAGGACCTTACCTGTTAGAAAACAAAGCATAGACAGCAGAGGTGTGATGGTCAGAGCTGTGCATGCCACACTGGTGCCTTGTGAAGGCTGACCGAGAACAGAGGCTGGACAGAGTTAAAGAATAAAGCAGGGATTTATTAAAAGGCCTCAATGGATCCACCTTGGGCAGC